CATAATGAAAATAAAATGCGGGAAATAAAATGCGATAAATAAACACAACCCAACAAGTAATCATACAAGCGCTAGGATTGACTCTCGCAGGGGACGTTGGATCCATAGGAAACTATAAAGTCCCCAGCAGAGTCGCCAGCTGTCGCTTCCGCGAAAATAAGGTGCCGGCAAAATAGAAGATTCGCCACCTTTCGTTATTTATCCCTCGGAGCGGGAAAGGAAAGGATCGGAAAAACCTAACGAAAAAGGTATAAGACAAGGTCATCGCAACCATTGTCTGGGTTCGGGAGTCGGTTACGCAAGGGGAAGGTATTAGCACCCCTCACGTCCATCGTACTCGATGGGATCCACGCTTGTTGTGTTTATCGGACGGGTTGGTTGTATATCTACCTATCAAGACTTGTAACGTACGACGTCAGTTAACCTTTATTACTGTGTTTTAATTTGTTTTGAGATGAGAAGAGAGAACGAACAGGTTCAACTGAGGGGGAGACTATCAAGTCCTACTGTTGTCATGCCAAGGATTCATCCTATGGTGGAAGTTTGAAACAGGGAACTCCTAGAAGTTATCATGCATAGGTTTCAACCTAAAGTTCTATCATCACTTCCTTATCCAATGAAGTGAGATTCTTAGGGGATCATGTCAATGATAAACAGAAATAGATAAAGCATCAGCTTAAACAGTAAACAGTAAACGACTGTAAAATGCATGCAATGCAAGTGAGGGAGGAAATGTGTGTGGGGCATCAGCCTCCACAAGCTCATCTCAACCTCAAGCCAGATATGAATAACCGCAATCATACAGAGAAATAAAATGCCATCAAGCAAAACATAAGCAACTGCAATCATACCGAGGAAATAAAATGCTATCAAGCAAACACAAACAACTGCAATCATACAGAGGAAATAAAATGCTATCAAGCATACACAAACCACATGGGCAAGGGAGCAGGGCTCTACCGAATACCCGCAAGCAAAGCCATACAGTAAAAATACAAGCAGAGGGAGCAACTCAACCTCTATTGCAATCATGCTCCTAGCTTAAATCTAAATATGAACTTATTCTAATGCATCAAGCAAATCAAACAAGTCACAGCAATACAGAAAAGAGAACAGATCAACAGCTTCCACAATAAAGCCCTCCTCTGACAGCAGTCCAATCATCAGACTTCAACCACCCTTCAAGGCTATCATCTTCAATAGCAAGTATCAACTTGCTTCTCCAAGTTTCTAACACATCAAACATAAATATCAAATTATTCCCTCTTCTACAAGCCTCAGCTTTTCAGTCAATTCCACCTTCAGGCTTCACTCCTAACTGCAAGTATCAAGTTGACTCCTTCAGGCTCTCAATGCATCAATATAAGTATCAACTTATCCTTTATTCCTCAAGCCTCAGCTCTTCACTCAATCTCAATTGGATCCTCTTCACAAGTGTCAACTTGGTCTTCAAGCCTCAGCTCTCTCTGCTTCACTAGTATCACCTTGCTCCTCTTCATCTACAAGCTTCAGCTTCTCAGAATAATCTTCAAACACACAGAAGTATCAACTTCATCCTTCAATATTCTTCAAGCAAGGAACTCCATCCTCTAACAAGGGAGAAAGATGCATCCATCAAGAGCATAGTTTGGATGATTGGTAGCAGAGTGAAGTCCAAAGGTCACCACTAAGCCTCCTATCATCAGAGAAAGGGACCCTCAAAGGTTCTACCAACTTGTAGAGAGCCACACATCCTACCAAAGGAGGCATGAGGCCTTTACAAGGGGACTTTGCATCATAGGGAAGAATGGAATTGATCAACATATTCCATGTTTATGAAGAAAGAGGATCTACCTAGAAGCTCTGCCTACAAAACCCTAATCTTAACCTAATCAAAACTATACCAAAAGAAGGGAAGATCTTCACATCCAAGCCTCTTCAAACAATCCAATGCATCCTCAACTTTCCTTTATCATCATCCAAGAACAAGCAAAGCAACACCCTAATCTAGGGGAACTAAAGAAGTTAATCTAGTTGGATTAGTGCATTAGAATCATCTAAAACTAGCATCTAAACTAAAATCAAGCAAAAATAGAAAACTACCTTGAAAATTCCTACAAAAATTCATGAGGGATCCTAATTCAATCATGAATCTACCATACAAAAATCAGAGGTTTAATCATCCACCTAGTTTCAAGAATAAAACCTAAACCACAAGGTATCAACCATAAACCCTAAAAATGGAGCTTCTAAAGGTTTCAACCTAAACTACCACCTAAGTTCATCAAAAAAATGTGAGAAAAATCTATGGGGAGCATGCATATCTGTGCTAACTACTCACAAAAATCAAGGCCAAAATCATCATCACATGACCAAACCAAATTCACCAATATCAAGCATCAAACATGACTATTTTAATATCAATTAAAATGTAAAAAATACCATAAAATAAGAAAATACATGAAATAATAATATTTTTTATCTAAAAAATACTAGACCCTATCATGAATCCAATGCAAAAAGAATGGGGTTAATTGAATTATTTTTCCATTTTTTATGATTTTATCAAGAACCATGAATAAAATGGAAAAAAATAAAGAAAATCCAAATAAAATGATAAACACACGGTGCAGATAGTAAAAGGAGTCAGTTCATTTTGACAATTGGGCCATAAGGAGGGGTGTAGGTATCAACTAACAGCCTAAGCCCAAAATCAGCAAACAAATGAAACGCATCGTTTCATTAAAGTTCAGACTCTTCACAAAATGAGAAGCACGCGTGGCCGTTGGATGAGGTTCCCAGTCAAAGTCCAACCTTAATCTGATGGCTATCAAGTCATCTTCTTCCTTTTGAATCCCTGCAACTCAGGTCACCTGCGCGCCCAAAACCACCGCCGGTGACTTTCTCCGGTCATCTTCTCACAACCCTAGTTTGCCATAGAGTCCACCATAGGCCACGATTCCTTGATCAAACTTGTCCCGAATTTCACAAGGAACTCAATCATACCATTAATTCAACCTAAATCCTCAAAATTCGCAAGAACCAACTCTCAACCGAAAATGGTAACATCCTTAATTGGTCACTAATTCTCAAATTATTGATCTGAAAACTTCCCTACACCATTCTACAATGCATCTAACATCTTAATTCCTATTAATTCTAACTAAAACAAGTTGGAGATTGAAGGTTACCAACCTGAAAATTTTGTGTGCACAAAAGTAGCAAGCCTTCAAATCAAGCCCTCTAATGCTCCAGACTCCTTCAGTGAATCACTTCCAAGCTTCTGTATGCAATAGAATTGATTGAAATGGCTTCAATTCTTGGAACCAACTCTGAGTTGCAGGTGGAAAAAACTGAGATCAAGAACACCAATCAGCCACGAATTTCCCTTGATTATGATCTGGAATCATTCCCTAGCATCCATGGAAGAGATTGCAATCAAGAAAATGGATGGAAAGTGAGTGAAATGATGTAACCGAATTCAGTTGCAAGCAAGAATTTTCCAAACTCAATCTCTGCTCTCTCCTTCAATCATCACCAAACTTGGCCTTGGATCACCTCATTATCATATATAGAACATGTGTGGATGATCTAGAAAGCTCTAGATCCTTCTAATGAGAAATTCAATCTCTTATGTCATGAGAAGTTCAACCACATGCCATGGTATGCATAGTTCTGCTAACAGCTTGAAATCATCCTCATTCCCTTCCAATTTTTCCCCTAATGACATTTTGGATGTGTTTGGCTTACAAGGGACCTTGATTATGCCTTGAATTTAGGTTTGGCAAATGTTACTTAAGATGTAAGTAATTACTTTTCAAAGAAAGTCCACAAATTACACCTCAATTCAAAAATGTGGCTAAACCAATGTTCTTAAAATGTTTTTTAGAGTCAAAATGACATATTACATGCCTTGGTTTGGACATGCAGATCAAAAATATCAATTTCCCACTTTGGTTCATTTGAAAATTACCCTCATTTTAGGCCATTTTGGTGACTTTGAGCTACAAGCACTTCCAACATCTCATGACCTCTTGGTTAACCTTAAAACATCATTTTAAACAAGTTTGATGTTGAACATTTTCCCATTTGAAGCTTGGAAATAGGAGTTATGGCCTTATGCTTGAAACGACCTATAATCTCCAAATGACCAAAATGCCCTTGACTTGTCAAAGCCATAACTTGAGTTCTACAAATCCTATCAAGGACTTCTAGTACTCTATAGAAATCTAAGAGGATAAGGAACAACATTCATGTTGACCAAAAGTTCATAGGAATCATCCTTCTAGGGCAAAAGTTTCATGAAAGCTGGACAACTTTCAAGCCCCCAAATTCACATACCTCAGATGACCTGTAACTTGTCAAAGTCATAACTTGAGTTCTACAAATCCTATCAAGGACTTCTAGTACTCAAATTAAAGCTAGGACCATGCTCTACAACATTCATGTTGGGGTCAAGATGATATGACAATCACATTTTGAGCTAAACTGCCTTGAAGATAGGGGTCAAACTAGGGGATTTTACACTGTCAAGCCTTAGAAACCCTAGCTCGAAACTTCTCAAACTCTTCAATCATGATGAGTTGACCTTGGAATCATCCTTATAAAATATCAATGTATCAATCCATGCTCACATAGCCCTTGCGTTAGGTCTCAACCTTCTTCAAATCCTCAGTTGACTTAGGGTTGACCCAGTCAAACCCTAGCTGCACCAATCATGGTTGAGCCTTCTTAATCTTGCACAATGACCTGTCTAGGCCTCAAAGTGATCTTCAACACTCCTCGTGAGCTCTCTCAAGACCTCAAGTCCATCTCCATGGCTTCAGAATCATCTGATGACTTCCCACAACTCTCAAGTTAGGAGACACACCCTCTTGGCTTCAATCACTCTCTCTGGGGATCTTCTACCTTCTCTAACAAGGATATCAACCCTTGAGCACCTGACTAACCTTCTTGGCTAGCTTCAAACTCTTTTGTAGCCTTTGATTGGTAATCATACCTCTTGATCTCCTGCATACATGTCAATGAAATGCAAATGATAATGCTAATGTGAATGAAATGAAACACAAGCTAGGTAAAGAAAAGTTGGGCAAATTTTGGGGTGCAACACTAGCCCTCTGCAGCACTAAAATTAACTCAACTATTATTTTTTTCATCATTTCACTTAGATACTGCTTTAGCACATGTCCATAGCAATTGTTCAGTGTCAATGCTGCAACTGCCCCCGCTATCATGTGCCATTTCTTTAAAATCGGGTTGTAAGTTTGTCTCTCCTTCATCGCTAAATCTTCAGTATCCTTAGCCAAATCAAGCATAACTTCACTTATGTCTTTCTTTGTTTCAGATTCAGTGGATTTTGCATTTTCTGCTTCTATTATCTTCAATCATAAAAGAGCAACAAAAACATCATTAGATCGTTTTAGATTTGACTTCAATAATTATAAAAAGTGTGGTTAATGAAGAATATAATCACATACCATTTCAAATGCGTTTTTGAACGATGAACGGATATAATCATCAACGCGTTCGGCAGAGAAATCTCCTTTGTTTTGCCAATCTCCATCAGATATTGTAACATCTCCTAAAATTTTGGATGCCAACAACACCACAGGAAGAAGGTTTTCGATTTGTCGAATATACTCTCCTTGGAAATATGCGTGGTAGTTAAGTAACCTCTTATCGGCCCAACTCTGCAACGAATCGAGTACCGATTTCAACATATTAACATACAAGGCTTCCTTTTCTTTCTTAGCATCATTTGCAACTTCATTGAACACAGTGTGTGAGGCACAAAGAAGCTCAGGTTCTCTCTGTCCAGTTGCTACATATTGTTGAAACAGTGTCCACGCGAAGCACAAATTGTGAATCGGCCTATTGATCCCAAGTGTCGACCATGTTTTCTTCATTAATTCGAGTAACTCGTCGACTTCATCTGGGAATAATGTTTCGTCTTCGAGATTAAAAATGGATTGAAGAAGGGAAGTGTAGAGGTGAACATTGACAGGAAATCCATTAGCCCAATAGCAGACATTAGTCGAAACACCGTCTGGACTTCTCATCGACAGGGAAACCACTGAGTTGCTAAAGGTTCTCATTGTTTCCGAGTTCTTGCTCGTGTCTATCGGTTTGAGTTCACCGCTACGAATTATTTCCTTGAGATTCATCGCGAATGTGTTGGTCTTTTCAACCGGAATTGAAGGGTGTAAGAGGAGCCCTGCTTCGAGGATCTTGAGCTGCCGCTTTTGCCACAAATGGTACTCATGAGGGTTACTGAATTCGGAAGGTTTGAGGTGTCGAAGGAGTTCCAAAGGGAGGATGATAGTTTCGGCTTGCCGACCAAGCTGCAATGTTTTAGGATACCAATAAATCATTAATGATATTTTTCGTTTATATCTTAAGCATTTATTATTTTCGGTCTTTCAATTCTTTAATTTTATCTTTTCAGATGTAACAATCATTATATTTCTTAATATACTTGAAAATGTCAAAAACAAAAAATAAAGAGTACTTACTTGACCAACAAGGGTCCTCATAAGGTTTTTCCTCAACCGGCTATCACTTTGTTCCGAAACTCCCATCTGTAGCCTCATAACTTCTGCCATAGTCATTATCCGCCTTGGAAAAACCCGATGGCGCGGGCTACCTTCTGCCACGGGCGACGGAGGCGATGACATCGACATTTTCCAACTGCCTCTCATCGCCATTCTCTGAGACAAAGAGCTTTTCAAAATCTTCAAACCAAGCGCTCTTTTCGTCCTACTTGTCTGTGCCACCGGATTACTCGGGTTCATCCCTCCCACGCCGCTGCTTTCATGTTTCGAATAAAATGTGAGTGTACTCCGGCCACCGAAACCGGGGGAAGATCTGCACGCGGTGAAGAAAACTTCGTACGCGGTTTCTCTTATATCATCGTCATCGAGAAACTTGATATCGTAAAACAACCATATGAGACCGTTATTGTTGTCGTGGTAGTTATCTTTGTTGCAAATATCTAGTCTGCGCTTGAGGAGACGGTGGTTGAGATTTCTTGAGGAAGACGTTGAAGGAAGGAGAGATAGATCTGTTGATTCATGATTCGGCGAAATAGGGAAAGGAAATGGATTTGGACATGATTCACGTCGATTATGGTAGAGAGGTAATGGAGGTTCGAAAACGGTGGAAGACGAAGGTGACGGGAGGGTAGGAAAAGGACCTGGATATGAGTCACGGCGGAAATGGGAGGTTGTTGCGGGAGGGGAGTTTGGAGGGAAAGAAGGTGGCAATGAGTCACGGCGGTTCAGCTTGATATTTCTGGTGCAGTCAGGGGAAGGTGGTCGTGGAGGTGGTGAAATGGAAAGTAAAGGAGACGATTCATGGCGGGTGTGGCGGTGGTTGTACGGAGAAGGGACGGAGATTGTGGGAGGGAAAGGGATAGGGGAGGAGTCGTGACGGCGGTTGTAAAGACCCATGTGGTGGTTGCATGCAATTTGTGGAAGTTTTTTTGTTTTCATTATTTTCTATTATAAATTATGAATATGGTGGAAAAAGAAAAGAAAAATAATAAAAGAATGAAATTGAAATGATGGATATTGTGATTGTCATCATGGATGATGGATATTGCAATGTTTGTTGTTTGTTGTTAGTTAGTTGTCTCTTATTGGTTTTGTCTTTGAGAGAGATTGAGAAATTAATAGAGAATTTAGGTTGTATCTTATAGTTTTGTTTGGTACAATACTAAATTAATTTCAATTATTTTGTAAAATAATTAAACAGAAAAATGATTTACAATGCCTTTCACAAAACTTTAGTCAAAATTCAATTTTTTTTTAGCAAAGTCAAAATTCTATTTCTATTGTGTAATACTGACTTTCACAAAATTTTCCAACCAAAATTCTATTTTTCTTAAATAATAATAATAATAACAATAATAATAATAATAATAATAATAATAATAATATTTTATGTAATCCCACTAAATTCATTAACTATCCAAAACTCTATCAATTAATTAATAATAATAATAATAATAATAATAATAATAATAATAATAATAATAATAATAATAATAGATTAAATATATGATACATCTGAGTGACTTTTGATTTACCTCTATAATTTTTTTTATTCTTCTAATAAAGATTATGTTGCTTTGGCCTTTAGGTGGCAATTTAGTAAGACATATTCTCTGCTAACGTGACATGTCTAGGTAATTATTATTTTAATTATTTATTTATTTTAAAATTTTCACGTAAATTATTTTTTGTTTTTTAATTTTAATTAGTTTATATTGATATTTTATATTTATTTTTTTATTTATATTTATTTATATTTTAATTGTAGGGGAGAGAGTAAATCAAAATTCATTCACATTGAGGGATAAACCAATAAATCAATAACACTTTATGTTTTTTTTTAGTTTTATTTAGGTTCAAATCACCTTTAGTAATGATGTAAATGTTATATTCATATTTTGCCCATCTTGTATTCAGACGCTTCCATGAACTTTACATCACAAGAGAGAATGAGATTCGCCGCTTCCATGAACTTGTTCCGAAGGGAAGACTTTGTCCACTTCAAGGTGAAAATTTACTAAATTACCAAGATTTTATACAAAGGAAGTGATCTTCTAGGATTTACTAGTTGAATAACAAACCATGAGAATATGTTTAATTGATTATATTTGTTGAAAATAAAGAATCCCGAAAGATAGAGAGAACCCAGTTTTTAGTAATTGATTGCATATCGGTGAATAAATGCATCATCGGACGACCTACGTTCGCCACCTTAAGATCTATTTCCTAAACGGTTCACCTAAAACTGAAATATCATACCGATGAAGGTGTCGTGACTATGGTTGAGGATGACATAGAGGCCTGTGGGTCATGCATTTTAGCATAACTAAAGCTTCATAAAGGAACAACAAATTCCCTTGTAGAAAAGTCGTCGACGATTAAAGGGAGGAGAGAGATTGAAGAACCACAATAAAGGGAGGAAAAATAAAGGTAAAAAGCCTATGCAAATTATACCATGTTCCAGGTGGAAATAGTGCTTCAACTTCCGTTTTCCGTTGCTCGAGAATAGGAGAAATCATTAAACTGCTTCCAAGTAAGAACTGAGTGCTGAAGCCTAACATTTAACATATTTTGGAAATGATAAGAAAAAAGGTCGAGCAATTGGGGTTCCACTAATGACACTTGAATGATCCCTTGAGAATGGATAGAAAGCACCAACTTCAATCCTCCTATTACAAATCTCTTTAGTAGGTTCTGGATAGAAACCAGATATATTTACACTACCCTTTGGCATCCCAAATATTCCAAAATTAAGAACAGTGGGTATAGAATATCTTAAATCCTCCCATGTTCCTTTGTTGTCACCAATCAATGAGCAACATTTTTGCTCGATCCTACATAATTCGAACGTGACAAAAAAAATGGTCATTTACTTTGATGTTCATGAAGTGTTTTGTGTAACACCCTAAATTTATTGGAATATTTATTTAATTTATTTAAATATAAATATTTGTATTTTTGGTGATTTTTGGTAGTTGGTATGAAGTATTGAGAATTATGGATTTTGGGTTATTTATTTAAATAATAGTATATAATATGAATATATTGGTATTATTATTACTTTAAATAAATATAAGTGAACTAATGGCAAAATGGACATTTGAGGAAGAGCTAGTGAGGGTGAAGTTGGAAAGTTCAATTTTAAGGCCCAAAGTTAGGTTTAACAAAAAGGAATTTTGAGGGAATTAGGATTCATTCTTGTTAGACTGTGAAAAGGGAAGAAATAGAGGCCAGAGCTCTGAGGAAGAGGATTGAGGCAACGCTTTGCGTGGTTTCCAAGAATCAAGGAGAAAGGCTTAGAGTAGGCAATTAAGGTATGGGGAGTATTGTCTTCATTGTTTTCAATATGTGATTCAATGTATTTAAAGATGATTTAAGGGTTTAAGGGGTTTGAGGTTGATTTGAGAGTAAAGGAAATTAGGTCTTCGTGGCCAAAATCTATTATTGGAGTTTTAACTGTATAGGGATTTGAGCTGATGGTCTGATAGGTTTGAGGCTGATTTGAGATAAGGGAAATTAGGCCTTCGTGGCCAAAATCCGTTGTTTAGGTTTCAACCCTGTAGGCTAATTAGATAGTGAGAACTCTAATGACTGTGGGTTGTAAGGAAATTATGGGAATCAGAGGCGTAAATATGATACAGGATTGGCCTAATAAGTCGTAGATTTTGTGCCTTCATCACCGTAATACCTTAGGAATGATTTAGGGATGTTTTTAGGGCATATGGGAAGGAAATTGTAGAGGTTTTTGATCTGGTATTAGTGCTGGTGTGTAACAGCAATTTATTGTAATCGCGAATTTGCACGGCGAACATTCGCCCAAATTCGCACAGCAAACTTGCTAGCGAACGTAGCAGAGTTTCGCGGATTCTGATCTTGTGCAGTGATGTCTTGATGTTTTTATGCTGTGATTTCTTTGATGAATTACCATGAGTATGACTATGATTCCCATGTGATTATTACATGATTGTTTGACGATTCATATGAATAATTGTGATGATTTTACGATGTTAATTTCCATGAGTTTTGATGATTATATGATGACATGGTTATTATGATGATTTTGATGAATGATGATGCACCTAATGATTTTATTATGATGATGATATTGACGTGTGCATCATGCATTCATATGCATCCGGACTTCAGTTCAGGACCTTGATTTTTGTGGCTTCAGTCCCATTGTGCGGATGTGAGGTATTTTGTTGTGCTCCGGTTCTCGAGTAGAATCGATCCTACTGTTGTGGATCTATGGAGGGTTTATGGCCCAATGTCCATCGAATTATGTTGATTGGTACCACATGCATGAGTCTTGTTGCATTTGCATTTATGTGACAATTTGGTGTAATTTATAATGTTGTGGCCTTTGATGTTCCTTGATGTTGCCTCCACGTGGGTAACATGCAGATGACCAGGTTTAGCCGTGAATGTCGTCGAGGACTTTTGAAGTGTTTGGATCGTTGACCATTGTGGTTGACTTAGAGGGTCTTGCTCTGATAGTGTAACATCAGGTTGGGGTCTTTGAGTCAAACCTTATTTTATTGAGTTTTTGTTATGTTGATTGTCTTGCGACGCAAGGAAAACTTTAGATTATTGCTTTTTGAGCTCCGCTGCCTTTTTGAGTAAATTTGGGAAAAACCCGTTGTTTACGAAACATTGACCATATTTGAATTTTTTTAGAAATGTGCGCCCTTTTATGGTGATTTTATTACGTTTGGTATTTTACTCTGATAAATATGATTATTTTGCCATAATATTTATGGGGTAGAAAAAGGTGTTACACTTTGTGCGTTGCAATGGCTTCGGAGAAACCAAAAAGACTATGAGCATCATATTCCAACACACCATTATAATGAACTGTACTAGTTTTTATTGTTTTAAAGCCTACTGGAGCCTTTTTCCAAAAGCATTGGTTTTGTATGGATGATCATCCCATCTTGTACTTGTGATGCTTATGCAATCCAAGCAACAAATTGAATTTGGTATTTTTCACCTTGAAGTGGACAAAATCTTCCCTTTGGAATAATAATACATTTTCCTGTGTAGAAATTTGAATCTTTATTTATGTCAATCCATAAGCCATCAATAGGAACAAGTTCATGGAAGTGGCAAATCTTGTCCCCTTTGTAATGTAAAATTCATGGAAGTGTATGAATACAATATTGGGCAAAATATAAATACAACATTAACAACATCACTAAAGGTGATTTGAACCCGCATAAAACTAAAAAAGATGAAGTGTTATTGATTTATATTGATTTAACCCCTCCAATGTAAGCAGGTTTTGATTTACCCCCTCCGGTAGTTAAAAAAATAAATTAATTAAAAAATACACGTAGATTTGAAAAAATGAATTAGAAAAAAAAACAACTCAGACATACCTGTCACCAAAAGGGAATATTCCTTTCCAACTTGTCACCCAAGGGGCCAAGGCAACAAAAATTTTACATTATAAGGGTGAATCCAAAAGTTTTACATTAGAACGAGTATAGCTATATATTTGGAGGGTTGTTTGTGATGTTTAGGGTTGTTAATGGTATTTAGAGTTAGCTCACGCAAAATGATAAGAAGTTATGCGTGTGTGTTTCTGTATCAATGATTTGATCATTCATCAGCCCTAAGGTCAGTGTATTTATAGAAGATCCTTGGACTTGGGTTAAAGAGTGGTTACCTCCGTTGCTTTATCAGAACGTAGAGAATAAAAGAGTTATTCTTTCTTAGATCCTTAGATCATAGAGACGAAAATTATCCTCTTTGACACTCTTTTCTAGTTCGTTATAATGAGACACATTATCTCCCACGTCCACTAGGAAAGTGGGTAATGGGAATTAATTCAGGTGGAATAAACCCAACTGGTAGACTACTACTAAGATCCATATGGCCTCAAGGACCATTTCGGG